AAAACCTGACCATTTTGGGGTATATGGCTCCAACCCTTTGATGAGTCACGCTGATGAAAGCTTTGGGGGCGGAGACATTTTTGCATCCTTCTGGTGCTTCGTCCAGTCCTTTGACGCACAATTAAGTGTGATTTTGCATCTGTAACAAGCCTTTTTATGTTGAAAGTGTGATCTTATATTGTAGAGATTTTAAAAAAATGAAAAAAAATTTTGGAGCTTTTTCCTTTTTCCCTTCTATTTTCTGTGGTGGGTGTGGAGTAAGGAGTGGCTAAGAGACTCAGCATTGGCAGAGCAACATAAACCTGGAGGACAGTGGTGGTTTATCAAAGCCCTAGTGACCCACTTTTTTAGTAAGGGGTTCCTGGATTGTCAGGGCTCCCAGGTAAGACCAGAAGGGGGTGTGTGGTCTGAGGCAGGAAAACGCAGGACCTCAGAAATATGTTATAAACACTATATACTTCTATTAAACACTAACCGTTACAAAACATAAACGCAGTGCCAATACAAAAACATAATACGGTGCAACAAACCAAACCAAACCACCCAAAGATAACAGTATATTACAAGCGAAAGCGTTCGTCCTGGCAGGCCGGCGTCCAATATCCAATTGGGCAGGTAGGTACAGGGGGAGCCAAGCGGAGAATGGTCCGGGGTCCACAGGCCAGGTTGCAGCAGGTAGCAAGCAGCATAGTTAGAGGGTCACGGCACAGAGGGCATGGTTCTGGGTCACAAGCCAGGGATCAGAACAGGTAGCAAGCAGCGTAGTAACAGAGGGTCCAGACAGAGGGATGGTCAGGGTCCACAAGCCAGGGATCAGAGCAGGAGAACGTCAAGCAGAGGAACAGAAATCAGGATGCAGGACAGATACAGGGCCCAGGACCATAACACACAACACCAAGGCAGAGATCTGCAAGTCTGGCACATCCCCTTAAATTCAACCAGTATCATCAGTTCCAGGTGTTACTGGCTGAAAGGTTTGAGTCTCTGATGAGGCTGGGAAGCACCCGCTGGCCAAGCCTCTGGTTACTCGCAGATCAAAAAGGCAAGTGAGTACCCACCAGTGCTGGCCACTCCATTCCTAACAGTACCCTCCCCCCCCCCCCCTCAAGGAGCGGTCCCCTACAGGAACACGCTCCAAAACAGTCCTAAGCTGGGCAAAAGGTTCCACCGCCCGGGGGTCTGGCAACTGGCGCGGGATATCAAAGACTGGGGCTCACCAGGCAGGACTCCGGGCAGCGGCCACACCGGGCTGGACTCCGGGCAGAGGCCCACATCGAAGCTGAGGCACACCTGGGCAGAGGCCACACCGGGCAGCGGCACATCGGGGCAGAGGCACTTCTGGGCAGGGACTCCGGGCAGTGGCACATCGGGCAGAGGCACATCGGGCTGGACTCTCCGGGCAGAGGCACATCGGGCCAGGACTCCCGGGCAGAGGCACATCAGGGCAGGACTCCGGCATAGGCACATTCTGATCGGGCAGGGACTCCGGGCAGAGGCACTATCCGGGCAGGACTCCGGGCAAAGGCTCATCACGGGCCAGGACTCCGGGCAGCAGGCAACATCTAGCAGGAGTACCAGGCGAAGCACGCAGGGCAGCGGGGGGGGGCCACCAGGCGGAAGCAGCACGGCAACCGGGCCACCGGGCGGGATCAGCGGGGCACCGGGCCCCCCGGGCTGGGCTGCAGGCACCGGGGACCCCCGGGCGGGGCGGCAGGTCTCCGGGCCCCCGGGCGGAGCGGCAGGCACCGGGCCCCCTGGCGGTAGCGGCAGGCACCGGCCCCCAGAGCGGGGCGACAGGCACCGGGCCCCCAGGCGGGGCGAACAACGGCACCCCGGAGCCCCCAGGCGGGGCGACAAGGCACCGATGCCCCCCAGGGCGGCGGTGGCGACAGGCATCGTGCCCCCAGGAGGGCGCGACAGGCATCGAGGCCCCCCAGGTAGGGGGCGACAGGCCATCGGGCCCCCCAGGCGGGGCAGACTGGGCATCGTGCCCCCAGGCGGGGGCGGGGGTCGGGGTATACGGGGCCCCCAGGTCGGGCGCCGGGCATCTGGGCCCCCAGGAGGGGCGACGGCAATCGGGCCCCCAGGCGGGGCGACCGGCCATCGTGCCCCTCCGGCGGGCGGCGACAGGGGGCATCGTGCCCCCCAGGCCGGAGCTGCTTGGTACTAGCGCGGACCTCCATATTGGAGCGGACAGGTCTCGGGGCCCTCAGGCGGAGCGGCGGGCCGCCGGAGACCCCCCAGGTGAGCACGACAGGTCCTCTCGGCCCTCTGGCGGCATAGCGGCGGAGCGCCGGACCCCCCATGCGGTGAGCGCCCGGTCTCGGTGCCCTTAGGGCGGAGAGGGGCGGCGGGCGCCGGACCCCCAGGAGGAGAGACAGGATCTCCGGGCCCTCCAGGCGGAGCGGCGGGCGCCGGACCCCCAGGTGGAGCGGACAGGTCTCGGCCCTCAGGCGGGTAGCGGCGTGCGCCGGACCCCCAGGCGGTCCGACAGGTCCTCGGCCCACAGGCGGGGAGCGGCCGGGCGCCGGAACCCAAGGATGAGCGACAGGGTCTCGGGCCCTCTGGCGGGTGCGGGCGGGCGCCGGACCCCCAGAATGGAGCGACAGGTCTCGGGCCCTTCAGGCGGAGCTACGGGCGACGGACCCCCAGGTGGAGCGACAGGTCTCGGGGCCCTCAGACGGAGCGCGCGGGCGCCGGACCCCCAGGCGGAGCGACAGGTTCTCGGGCCTCTGGCGGGGAGCGGCGGGGCCGCCGGAGAAAACCCGCCAGAACATAATTTTGGACGCGTCGACAGGGTCTCCGGGCCCTTCAGAGCGGGAGCGGCGTGCGACGGGACCCCTGTGGAAGCGACAGGTCTCGGGGCGCCTCTGGCGTGCGGAGCGGCGGGCGCCCGGGACCCCCAGGAGGAGCGACAGGTCTCGGGCCCCTCAAGCGGAAGTGGCAGGAGGTACGGACCCCCTGGCGGACAGTGCGTCATGGTCTCGGGCCCTCAGGCGGAGCGACAGGTCTCAGGGCCCCCAGGCGGGGCGGCGGGCGCCGGATCCCCAGGCGGGGATCGGCGCGGGGCAGGTCCACCCCCAAGCGGAGCAACAAGTCTCGGGCCCCCCAGGCGGAGCGCGGGCAACCGAGACACCCCAGGCTCGACAGAGGGCACCGCGCTTCAATCTGGCAAGGCAGATGTGCTTCCAGAGTTCAACTGGTATGACCGCGGGGCACTGGGTCAGACATTGGATCGTCTGACCGGAACAGGCGGGCAATCGGAGGTCCAACCCAGGCAATCAAGTTCATTTGGCTTCGGACAGACGAGCACCCACCCGCAGTCCATCTTGCCAAGGGCAGTGGGCTCCGAGTCAAACTGGCATGCACCGCGGGCACCGGGGCAGACATTGAATAGTCTGGCTGGACAGCGGGCATCGGGTCACCAGGCATCAGGTCATTTGGCTCGACCATTTGCGGGGCACCGCGTCATCTGGGCAAGGCAGTGGGCTCCGAGTCAACTGTGTATGACCGCGGGCACTGGGTCAGGACATTGAGATCGTCTGACTGGACAAGCGGGCATCGGGTCACCAGGCATCAGGTCATTTGGCTCGACAGCGGGCACCGCGTCATTCTGGCAAGGCAGTGGTCTCCGAGTCAAAACAGGCACTGGGGTCACGTGGGCACCGGGTTCATCAGTACCCGATTGTCTCGGCTGCGACAGCGGGCAATCGGTCATCAGGTATGACAGCGCGGACACTAGGTCACCAGGACATCAGTCATTTGGGCTTGCCAGCGGGGCACCGCGTCATCTGCAAGGCAGTGGGCACCGAAGTCACCAGGTACGACACAGTGGGCTCTGAGTCAATTGGCACGACAGCGGGCACCGGGATCAGGTACCAAATAGGATCATCTGGATCAACAGCGGCCATCGAGTCAACTGGCCCTAATAGGATCGTCATAGCTGGATCACATTCATCATGCTGGGGTAAGAGGCATTAGGCCGAAGTAGAGGCTTCAGGCCGAGTTAGAGGCATCAGGCCGAGTATAGGCATCAGGCCGAGTAGAGCGCTTCAGCTGAAGAGAGGCATCAGGACGAGTACAGGCATCAGGGCCGGAGTAGAGGCTTCAGGCTGAGGAGGAGGCTCAGGCCAAGGCGTAGCCAGCTTCAGGGGCTGAGTAGAGGCATCAGCTGCGTACAGGCATCAGTCTGAACCACGGAAGGCAGGCTTTCACCGGTTTGATACTGGCAGGATGGTATTGGTGTGGAAAGAATTTTCGCTTTTTTTTTTCTGGTTTTAACTACTGGAAGCACTGCAAGTAAACGCAGGTCTGTCTGCAAACGAATGGAGCAGCTGGAAGACAGAGAAGAACTGGAGGATGGAACAGGAGAGGAAGCAGTTGCTATACAGAAGGCTTTTTTACAGGGTTTAAAGGCAGGATAGGTGCAGTGCGCGAGTGGGAACAGGGTACTGACATGCAGGTAGATAGCCAAGTATACTGGGCTATATCTAGTAACTGGAGGAGCTGTGTGGGAATACAGGAGTAGAGTTAGAAGCAGGACTGGGTCTTTGTAAGCTGACTGAGGCTGGGTGCAACAAATCTGTCCATGTGACTGCAGTATGGGTTTGAACAAAGCATGAGCTTACACAAAGTCCCATGTCCTGGTCAATGACTGCCACTGCGTTTATACACATCTCTCAGTGTCTGTGGTGAACACATGCAGAATAACGCTCCAGAAAGTAATACCCACATCATCCTCTAATAACCCACACCAGGGACTCTACCTGGTCTGCACTAAATGGTGGCAAAAATTCATCCCTGCATTCGGGGGAACCAGATGAAACCAACTCTGCCACAAACCTCAATCATTGGCTGCACCTCAGAGAACAACTGTGCCCTGATCTACTAGAACATGAGCGAGCCGTAGACATTCTAGCAATTCATCCCGGGGTATACTCCTTCAGAGTGTGATAATCATACTCCCTGTCATCAAAACACTAGCAGATATAAATACTCAACCTCCTCAAGATCCATCCTTCCCATCAACAAGCCAAGATGGTCTTCCCTGTGCAGCCACTTCTGGTCCAGGATTGGCCTTGGTGTAATGTCAGGGCTCCCAGGTATAGACCAGAGGCGTGTGACTGAAGCAGGGAACGCAGACTTCAGATATGTTTTATAAACAATATAATTTATTAACACTAACAGTACAAACATAAAACGCCGAGTGCAATACGTAAACATAATACGGTTTTTGCAAACAAACCAAACCAACCACCCACAGATAACAGTATATACAAGCAAGCGTCGTTTCAGGCAGGCCCGGGTCAATATCAATTGGGCAGGTAGGTACAGGGGGAGCAAGCGGAGAATGGTCGGGGTCACAGGCCAGGTTCAGCAGGTAGCAAGCAGCATAGTACAGAGGGTCAGGCAGAGGGATGGTCTGGGTCACAAGCCAGTGGATCAGAACAGTAGCAAGCAGCGTAGTACAGAGGGTCAGACAGAGGGATGGTCAGGGTCACAAGCCAGGATCAGAAGCAGGAGAAGTCAGCAAAGGAACAGAAACAGGATGCAGGACAGATACAGGGCCCAGGACAAACACAACACCCAAGGCAGAGTCTGCAAGTCTGGCCATCCCTTTTAAATACACCAGTATTCATCAGTTCCAGGTGTTAGCTGGCTGAAAGGTTGAGTCTCTGATTGCTGGGAGCACCCCGCTGGCCAGCCCTGGTACTGCAGATCAAAAGGCAGGTGAGTCCCACCATTGCTGGCCAGTCCATTCCTAACACTGGATTGTCCTTCAAGTCCAACACTTCACCCCCTTCCTGCCCAGGCCAATTTTCAGCTTTCAGCGGCTATCACACTTTGAATGACCATTGCGAAGTCATGCAACCACTGTACCCTATGAATACTTCACTTTTAGCATTTTTTTTGAGACAGATTAAAACTTCTTATTTTGGTTGGTATTTATTCAGCCCGCTGGGATTTTTATTTTTTTGCTATATAAATGAAAAAGTCCAAAAATTTTTGAAAAACAAGTGTTTTTCTTTATGAAAATTTTGCAAATAAATAATCTTTCTTCTTACATCTTGGCCAAAATATATGTAGCTATCTTTTTAATTAAAAAAAAAATAGTAATAGCAAATTAGTTTATAAAAGAAGGAAGAAAAATTTTTTTTTTTACATTTTTTATTTAATTTTTTTTTATGATTATTTATGTTTTTTTTTTAACATACGAATACTGTCACCCTAGCAGTAAAGATAATGTCACACCCATAGTGAACACTGTACTAGTAGGGGGTGATGAAGATTTTTTTTTGTTACACAGATTGCTTTTTAAAAATGCCATAAAGGCTGTAAAAGCAATCATTCTCCTCTCCTTTGGCTGCATTCATCTGCAGCCCCGCCATTGAGAACTACTGTGAGGCTGTGATTGGTCACAGCTTGTTACATGGTACAATGAAGTGTTAGTGGAAAAGTAGCCCTGTACCATGTGACCAATTCTGTGATCATTCACAGATTTCACTAAAGTAGTAAGCAATGATGTCAGAAGTGACATCTTTTCATTATTATTCATGTGGTCACGATTGGCCAAGCAGTGATCACATGATCGGGACCCTCACACAGAGGTCCCGTACAGCGATCGGTGTTCCGCTGTGTCTGGAGGAGACAGCGGGCACCGGATCTTGTGGTGCAGCGCGATCCACAAGGGAGCGTGCACATGGCAGGGTAAGCGGGAGGACGTTTATAAACAGCAACCCGCTCCTGCACTGCTCCCGTCCAGCCGTTTTCTTTATGGTACATGGGCCAGACGGGAAGTGGTTAAACATTCCCAACCTTCTACTCATCCCAAGTAACTATTGGCTTTAGATATAAAGACGCCCTGAAGACAGTGCCAGGTGAAAACATACGTTGAAGAACGAACATGATTCCGTCATATTCGGGCTCCGGTGACCGTCACAGAGGCTTGGAACACACGTCCGCCATCTTAATTCAATACACAGGTGATACTGCTGGTGCCGGCTTCTTAAGCACTGCATTATTCCTCCTAGCTATACAAATATGAAGTGTGTGTGAAGGAGACCATACATGGAGAAACCTTCTAGAGAGTAAAAAACACAATGTGATATATATGACCACCGTTATGGGGTCTTATAGGTCTGGTGAGTGAGCCATTCGTTTGCCTTTGCACCGGAGGTTCTGGAACACATGGATCTTTTCTCACCATTATTGAAAGTTCTAAAAAGGAATATTTACAAGCAGGGGCGGACTGACCATTTGGAAACTCGGGCACTGACCCGAGGCCCGGGGTCATTAGGGGGCTCCATGAGATGACCCTGGTACCTTTTTCATAGGCTTGGGCAAATAAATTTTTGGGCAAGGACACAGGGGCCCCATGATCCCCGATATGCCCGGGGGCAAAAAACCCCATGATTTTTGTCAGTCCGCCCCTGATTACAAGTTATGTAATTATTTAGCACGTGGTGGAAGCAGAAGGACTTTCTATGGAAATAGGAGTATATAGTCAATGATTACACTGCATTTTGAATTTTTAGTTTCTGAATTGTTTGATGATTACTAATTGGGTTTTTTTTTTTGTTCATTCACAGTCAACCAATTGGGTTCATAGGGTGAATTTCTATTTTATTTTAAGTACAGCGCGCCTATCTATTCACTACCAGCCCACATATAAGTGTCACATTTTCATCTTTTTAGGGGCTGCTGTAAAACCCCCCTAGGGTATTAAATAATAAAATAACATCATTTATTAGTTTTATTTCTTGGTTCACTTATAATATTTGGCGCCACATAATAATTTATTTTGATTTGTTTAGATATATTTTTGAATATTCAAGGAGAGTCCAATATGACATTCCTTTTTTTTTGTCATGCAAACATATAGATTTACAAGTGAAAAAATTCAGGATAAGGATACAACATATAAATAAAAATAATCATATATATCATAAACTTATTATTATATAATAAATATATAGATAAATAAATATCAGATGCATACATTAACACTAGGCCAGGGGTGGACTGACCATTTGGAAACTCGGGCACTGCCCAAGGGACCGGGGTTGGTCAGTAAAACTGGGGGCCCCATGAGATGCCCCTGGTATCTTTTTCATCATAGGCTTTTTTGAGATTGGGCAAGGACACAGGGGCCCCCCATGATCCCCTTTTTGCCCGGGGGCCCCATGAGTTGTCAGTTCCGCCCCTGCAAAACTGGGCTTCATTATGTCTACATGTGTTTTTTGGTACAATTACAGTGCATTCATTAAAGTATTCAAACCCCTTCATTTTGTCTCAATTTTTGTTATGTTGCAACAGTTGTCTATTTTTTTTTTCTCATTAATCTACACTACAGCACCCCATAATGACAAAGTGAAAAACAAAATTTGAGAAATGTCTGTAAATTTATGAAAAAGGAAATAGCTGATAAATCACATTGGCAAGCATTCAGATCTTTTGCAACAACACTTGAAATTTAGCTTGGGTGCCTCTCAATTTTGTCTTTATTCTTGGTGAGATGTTTCTACACCAATGATTGGAGTCCACCTGCGGTAAAATAAATTGATTGGATATGAATTTGAAAAGGCACAAAACCTCTCTTTTAAAAGGCCTTACAGCTGACAATGCATACAGCATCAAAAAAAGAGCCATGAGATCAAAAGGAACTCTGCTTGCAGAGCTCAGAGACAGAATTATTGCAGGGCACAGATTCTGCTGCACTTGAAGGTTTCCGAAGAGCACAGTGGCCTCCATAAATCCCAAAATGGAAGAAGTTTTATGGCACATCCAGAACGTTTCCAAGAGCTGGTTGCCTGGCCCCAACTGAGCAATTGGGAGAAGGGACTTCATATGAGAGGTGACCCAAGAACCCAATGTTGGTCATTCTGACTAAGCTCCAGAGATCCTGTGTGGAGATGATGGGACAAAGTTTCAGAAGGGACAACCATCACTGCAGCCCTCCACTGATCTTGGAGTTTTGGCAGGAGAGGCTAGACCACATGAAAGGATTTCTGGAACTCAGTCAGAGTGACCATCGGGTTCTTGGTCACCTCTATTACTAAGGCCATTCATTGGGCCTCCAACGATTGCTCAGTTTGACCAGGCGACCAGCTCTTGGGAAGAGTCACTGGTTGTGCCAAATTATTCCATTTTTGAGAACTATGGAGGCCATTGTGCTCTTGAGAACCTTCAGTAACTGCAGTAGTTTTTTTTTTTTTGGTAGCCTTCCCCAATCTGTGCTTTGCAAAAATCCTGTCTCTGAGCTCTGCCTGTAGTTCCTTTGACCTCATGGCTTTTTTTCTGATACATTATGCACTAACACTGGAAAAAAATCACAAGAAGACAGAGAGCTGCTGCCCATAGTGCCCAGTCATAATTCTTTCATTCCTAATATAATAAAAGGTGAAAGCTTGATAAATTGTTCCAGGCAACAGTTTCCCTTGAGTGCTCATTTTTCTTTTCTACACTTTTTAATGAATCTACAGTAAGTGCCAGATATGAATTTTATGTAGATCTTCTTCCCAGTGTAAAACTCATGCAACTGATTCCACTCTCTAGCCATCGTTTCCCCATTTCTTAATTGTATCCAGTTAATCAGATCTACGACTACTTTCCAGAGTGCACAATATCACCTAAAATTGACTGGTTTTATGAGAAACTGGTTGAGTTGCTGCTTGAAACTCTGCATTTGGGTTTAATTCATAAATCTTTTACAAAATTGAGCTCTTTGGCATTAAAAAGAGGTATAGACTCCTTCTCACAGAGAGAGATATCATATTTAATAAAAATAATTGCGTTTCCATGTTGTATATACTGTGAGAGACCAGATATAGTGAATGCAGGGTCCAGGGAGACCAGATATAGTGAATGCAGGGTCCGGGGAGACCGGATATAGTGAATGCAGGGTCCGGGGAGAGCAGATATAGTGATGCAGGGTCCGGGGAGACCAGATATAGTGAATGCAGGGTCCGGGGAGAGCGGACATAATGAATGCAGGGTCCGGGGAGACCGAATATAGTGAATAAAGGGTCCGGGGAGACCCAGATATAGTGAATGCAGGGGCCCGGGGAGACCAGATATAGGGAATGCAGGGTCCTGTGAGACCAGATATAGTGAATGCAAGGTCCGGGGAGACCGGATATAGTGAATGCGGGGTCCAAGGAGACCGGATATAGTGAATGCAGGTTCCGGGAGACCAGATATAGTGAATGCAGAGTCCGGGGAGAGCGGAACATAGTGAATGCGGGATCCGGGGGAGAGCGGATAAAGTGAATGCGGGGTCCGGGCAGACCAGATATAGTGAATGCGGGGTCCGGGAGAGAGCGGATATAGTGAATGCAGAGTCCGGGGAGACCAGATATAGTGAATGCAGGGTCTGGGGAGACCACTTATAGTGAATGCAGGATCCGGGGAGAGCAGATATAATGAATGCAGGGTCTGGGGAGACCGGATATAGTGAATGCAGGGTCCGGGGAGAGCAGATATAGTGAATGCAGGGTCCGGGGAGAGCGGATATAGTAAATGCAGGGTCCGGGGAGACCAGATATAGTGAATGCAGGTCTGGGGAGACCAAATATCGTGAATGCAGGGTCTGGGGAGACCAGATATAGTGAATGCAGGATCCGGGGAGAGCAGATATAGTGAATGCAGGGCCTGGGGAGACCGGATATAGTGAATGCAGAGTTCGGGGAGAGCAGAATATAGTGAATGCAGGGTCCGGGGAGAGCGGATATAGTAAATGCAGGGTCCGGGGAGACCAGATATCGTGAATGCAGGGTCTGGGGAGACCAGATATAGGGAATGCAGGGTCCGGCGAGATCAGATATAGTGAATGCAGGGTCTGGGGAGACCAGATATAGTGAATGCAGGGTCTGGGGAGACCAGATATAGTGAATGCAGGGTCTGGGGAGACCAGATATAATGAATGCAGGGTCTGGGGAGATCAGATGTAGCGAATGCAGGGTCTGGGGAGACCAGATATAGTGAATGTAGGGTCCAGGGAGATCAGAAATACTGAATGCAGGGTCTGGGGAGACCAGATATAGTGAATGTAGGGTCCGTGGAGAGTGGATATAGTGAATGCAGGGTCCGGGGAGACCAGATATAGTGAATGCAGGGTCTGGGGAGACCAAATATCGTGAATGCAGGGTCTGGGGAGACCAGATATAGTGAATGCAGGATCCGGGGAGAGCAGATATAGTGAATGCAGGGCCTGGGGAGACCGGATATAGTGAATGCAGGGTCCGGGGAGAGCAGATATAGTGAATGCAGGGTCCGGGGAGAGCGGATATAGTAAATGCGGGGTCCGGGGAGACCAGATATAGTGAATGCAGGGTCTGGGGAGACCAGATATAGTGAATGCAGGGTCTGGGGAGACCAGATATCGTGAATGCAGGGTCTAGGGAGACGAGATATAGGGAATGCAGGGTCCGGCGAGATCAGATATAGTGAATGCAGGGTCTGGGGAGACCAGATATAGTGAATGCAGGGTCTGGGGAGACCAGATATAGTGGAATGCAGGGTCTGGGGAGACCAGATATAATGAATGCAGGGTCTGGGGAGATCAGATGTAGCGAATGCAGGGTCTGGGGAGATCAGATGTAGCGAATGTAGGGTCCAGGGAGATCAGAAATACTGAATGCAGGGTCCGGGGAGACCAGATATAGTGAATGTAGGGTCCGTGGAGAGTGGATATAGTGATTGCAGGTCCGGGAGACCAGATATAGTGAATGCAGGGTCTGGGGAGACCAAATATCGTGAATGCAGGGTCTGGGGAGACCAGATATAGTGAATGCAGGATCCGGGGAGAGAGCAGATATAGTGAATGCAGGGCCTGGGGAGACCGGATATAGTCAATGCAGAGTTCGGGGGAGAGCAGATATAGTGAATGCAGGGTCCGGGGAGAGCGGATATAGTAAATGCAGGGTCCGGGAGACCAGATATAGTGAATGCAGGGTCTGGGGAGACCAGATATCGTGAATGCAGGGTCTGGGAGACGAGATATAGGGAATGCAGGGTCCGGCCGAGATCAGATATAGTGAATGCAGGGTCTGGGGAGACCAGATATAGTGAATGCAGGGTCTGGGGAGACCAGATATAGTGAATGCAGGGTCTGGGGAGACCAGATATAATGAATGCAGGGTCTGGGGAGATCAGATGTAGCGAATGCAGGGTCTGGGGAGACCAGATATAGTGAATGTAGGGTCCAGGGAGATCAGAAATACTGAATGCAGGGTCCGGGGAGACCAGATATAGTGAATGCAGGGTCCGTGGAAAGTGGATATAGTGAATGCAGGGTCTGGGGAGAGCAGATATAGTGAATGCAGGGTCCGGGAGAGCAGATATAGTGAATGCAGGGTACGTGGGGACCAGATATAGTGAATGCAGGTTCTGGGGAGACCAGATATAGTGAATGCAGGGTCCGGGGAGACTAGATATAGTGAATGCAGGGTCCAGGGAGAGCGCATATAGTGAATACAGGGTCCGGGGAGACCAGATATAGCAAATGCTGGGTCCGGGGAGACCAGATATAGCAAATACAGAGTCCGGAGAGATCAGATATAGTGAATGCGGGTCTGGGGAGACCAGATATAGTGAATGCAGGGTCTGGGGAGACCAGATATAGTGAATGCAGGGTCCGGGGAGACTAGATATAGTGAATGCAGGGTCTGGGGAGACTAGATATAGTGAATGCAGGGTCTGGGGAGAGCGCATATAGTGAATACAGGGTCCGGGGAGATCAGATATAGCAAATGCAGGGTCCGGGGAGATCAGATATAGCCAATGCTGGGTCCGGGGAGACCAGATATAGTGAATGTAGGGTCTGGGGAGACCGGATATAGGGAATGCAGGGTCCCCCCCCCCTAAAGACTGAAGAACAGTAAACTGGCTCCTAGTTTAGAAAGTTTGGAGACCCCTGCTGTGGAGAGTGAGGGACATCTTAGATCAGCTTTTCTCTAACTATGTACCATAGGGGAACCTTGGAAATAATTTTAGGGCCTTATTAAAAATATATTACACCTACAGGTCAGCTAACTGTAACATATCATGATCAGTAAATTGTACAAAGTCACAACATACTAAAGCAATTGGGCTTTTAAGGCACCAGGTATCAAATAATAACAACCATATATCAACATACATCATTTTATTATACAATAAAAGATTGTATATAAAACACCCATAAAAAGGAAAAAAGATTCTGAATCATTAATATAGGTGTACCCAAACCAAACATCCAACCCTCTACAAGCTTACTACAATTGTAAATCAAGATAGCCAAATGATTTGTCCTAAAAAGGACCATGTACAGTACTATAAATAAATAAATTCTATACAGCGAGGGAGGAGCAATGAGCCCCCGATGAGCTCTACGCATTTCGCGGTCCAAGCCGCTTCATCAGGAGCAGTGCATATCAGAATTTATATTACAATCTATAAAACAAAATAGAGGGTTATAAAGGGTTGGATATTTGTTTTGGGTGCAACTATATTAACCACCTTCCGCCCGCCCTATAGTCCAATGACAGGCGCAAGGTGGTTCTCTCGTTCTGATAGGATGTCATATGACGTCTTACCATTCTCACTGTGCATGCGCGGCTCAGGGAGCGTGCAGCGCGGCGATTGCCGGTGCGCTGTGTCCCTCAGACACAGCGGATCACAGAAAGAGCCGAAGATGTCGGCTCGGTCATGTGATTAGCTGTGTCCAATCACAGATGATCACATCTAAACACGGAAATGCCGGTTATCGGCATTTCTCTCCTCTCGAGCTGTCACGCTGACAGCTCAAGAGGAGAGGAGAGCCGGTAATCGGCTTTCCACGGAGGGGACATGTACACTGATCATCAGGGCACTGATGATCAGTGTAACCTGATGATCAGTGTGGCCCCAGAAGTGTCACCTGTCAGTGGTCATCAATGCCACGTGGCGTAGCTCATCAGTGCCACATCAGTGCCACATATCAGTGCATACCAGTGCACATCAATGCCACATATCAGTGCCCATCTGAGCTGCCTTTCAATGTCACCCGTCAGTGCCAGTCATTGCCACCTATCAATGCCAATCAGTGCCACCTATCAGTGCTGCCATTCAGTGCCACCTATCAGTGCCAGTCAGTGTCGCCTATCAGTGCCAGTCAGTGCCGCCTATCAGTGCCAGTCAGTGCCACCTATCAGTGCCAGTCAGTGCCGCCTAACAGTGCCAGTCAGTGCTGCCTAACAGTGCCAGTCAGTGCTGCATATCAGTGCCGCCTATCAGCGTCATGTATCAGTGCTGCCTTTCAGTGCCCATCAGTGATGCCTGTCAATGCCCATCAGTGCAACCTACCAGTGCCTCCTCATCAGTGCCCATCAGTGCCACCTATCAGTGTCCATCAGTGCAGCCTATCAGTACCTATCACTGCAGCCTCATTAGCGCACATCAGTGAAGGAGAAAAATCACTTATTTACAAAATTGTATAACAAAAACTAAGAAAAAACGTTTTTTTTTTTCAAAATTTTCTGTGGCTTTTGGTTTGTTTAAGAAAAAATAAAAATCCCAGAGGTGATTAAATACCACCAAAATAAAGCTCTATCTGTCTCAAAAAAATGTTTAAAATTTCATATTGGGGGGGGATGCTGCACAGGGAAGGTTTTTTTACCTTCATGCATAGAATGAAGGTAAAAAGCCTTTAACCTTTACAACCATTTTAAAGATAACCTCTCCTGTGCTAAACGCAGAGCAATTGTCTTCTAGGGACAAGTTGGTCCCATCCAGGGGCGGACTGACCATTTGGAAACTCGGGCACTGCCCGAGGGCCCGAGGTCGGTAGGGTCCCCCATGAGATGCCCCTGGTACCTTTTTGAGTTTGGAAAAGGACACAGGGGCCCCATGATCCCCTATTGCCCGGGGGGCCCCATGAGTTGTCAGTCCGCCTCTGGTCCCATCAGTAACAATAAAGTATTATAATAATAATAATGATAATATGAATTAGTTATTGTTACATATGTAATACATGGGAATACGTTTTTAGATCCACCATTAACTCAATACATTACCCGTTTTGCTTGTATGACTTGTGTGTTTATTTTTCTTTCTTTTATATACGATTTACTAAAGGCAAATAGACTGTGCACTCTGCAACTGAAGTTAGTCCAGAGCTTACTAAATATGGTGAAGCTTCACCTTGTAAAGAATACCCAATCACATGCCAGGAAAATTTAAAAAAACAGCATTTTTGCTTGCACATGATTGGATGATGGAATTCAGCAGAGCTTCACCTTGTTTACTAAGCTCTGGAGCAACTGCAGTTGCAGAGTGCACAGTCTATTTGCCTTTAGTTAACCAACCCCATAGAGTTATTTTGCCTATACAGGTGTACCTCGGTTAACGTAATTTTCGGTTTACGAATGAAAATCCATTGAAAATAATGCCTCGGTTTACAAATTTTTTTCGCAATACGAACAGATTAATTGGTTTACAAAATCATTTACAAATTATTTTTTTGTAATCATGTCCCTGTACAGTATTTATGCGTTTAAAGTGCACTTTATAAAGAGTTTTGAACAGATAAGACTTTTTTTTTTACTTTTTTCTGACCTCCGGAATGGATTAATTTGTTTTCAATGTATTTACGAATTCATTTTGAATCATGTCTCTTTATGCCTGTAGCCTCCCTGGTGGTATTCCTGAGTGTAGCTCGGGGTAAAGTTTCAGCACCACAAACGGTAACCCCGAGCTACACTCGGGAATACACTGCAGTGTTGCTCCGGGATCTGTTCTGCACTTACCTTGTCCTGCGCTCCCCGCGATGTCCCTCCTGCAGTGTCCCCGGCAATGTCCTCCGGCGGATACCGGCATCCGTCTTCCGGGTTCCGTTCCCTGCTACATCGTGACGTACGGGGGACGGAACTGGCGGCAAATTTGAAAATGACAAAAAGTGACATTCACTAAATACACTAAAATCACATATTATAACATTCCTGTATCAAACCATTTCACATACATTTTGTCCCGAGTGCTTTGTCCGGCGCCCTGCCTGCATTTTTACTGTTCTTTCTACCTGGAAACTGAGAAAAGTCCATGGCGTCCAAAAAGCGTCCCTTTAGGTCAAAAGCGGTTTTAGACGGCTAGAGAACAGCGATAGTAAATCAGAACCACTTGCAGAATTGAGTGATAATGATTTGTGGGGGAAATTCATCATCAGACACTGAAAACGATTCTGCGACTTTGCTCAGCGATGTGCGAACTTGGCGCTCTATTTCACATTTCAGTGTTTTTGGTTTGATTATATTATTGAATTAAATGTATTATTATTATATTATTATTTTTTATGATTATTTATTAAATTGTAATTTATGATTTCGTGTTTAAAATTTTAACATACCCGGG